AAGATGTCTTATTTCCCCCAAAGACAAATAACCTAAAATTGAAGGACACTTTTTTCCTTGGGTCTCAGGAGGATATGTTACGTTCTTTCTTGTCCCATTTGTTTTAAGACCTGTCAGGAAAGTACTGGCTGACACATCAAGTGAAGAGTCTGGTTTTGGTTGTGAGACTGAGCTTCCAGAACCTCCAAGCAAACTTACAGCACGAGAAGGCCAGAGCATCAGATAAACAGGCCAACATGTCTTCAGCCGCATGTAACACAGAGTGTAAGACCATGACTAATTTTATCTGTACTGGGTAAATAATATCCAGTCAATTACAACCCCAATTCCAAAAAAGTTGGGACAGTATGAAAAAAGCTAAGCAAAACAAAAAGAAGTGATTTGTAAATTCCTTTCACCCTGCCAAATACTGAAAACACTACAATTATTTTACCATGTAAATTTCATTGTTTTTGTAAATATACACTAATGTAAAATCTGATTACTGCAACATGTTACAACAAAATTGGCACAGTCGAGTGTTTACCACTGTGTGACATCACCACTTCTTTTAATAACGCTTATTAATTAAGCATTAGGGCACAGAAAACAGTCTAGCAAGCAGAATTTTCCTCCATTAATCCATTTTGCCGGTCTTCAGTTGTAGAATTGTTGTATTTTACACTTCTTGGAATCAGCTATTCTAAATTTGTGACAGGCCAGGACTCCAAGCAGACACAGTCTTTGCTTACACAGCCATGCACCAGTAATCCAGGCAGAAAATGGGTTGTACAATGTAGGGTAACCTGAAAAAGGATCTGGATGGGCACTGACACTCCCCACACTGTGACAGATGCTGGCTTTGGACCTAATGCTGACAACATGGTGGTCTGGCTTTTTGAAATGTTGACCACATAACACAGTTCCACTGTGCTACTATCATCTCGGATGAGACCAAGCCCATAAAGTCGGTGGCACTTCTGTATAGTATAGTTTCTGCTTTGTGTGGCAAAATCTTAATGTATGTTACAATTAGGGTTTTGTCAGAGAATTTTAATAGAAACCAATACTATTCCTTTCTGATTGTAAAGAACATGACAGCTTTGGTCGTGATGGTTTACAGACTCCCAGAATGCACAGCGAAAATCAAAACAATTCAGTTGGAGTCTCACAGAGAAGCGGAGGAAGGGGAAAGGCGAGGGGTCATTGTTCCTTGATTCATTTCATTTTAAAACATTGACAAACAGCTCATGGGTCAAAAATGTCACAATCTGCAAGATTTCTTTTATTTCACTGATGAGTAACTTAATATGAGGGTCTTTTCAGTCTATCGCACTTTCAGTTGTTGTCAGGCATCTATTTGTAGAGCCTTTTGCCAAATAGGTTTTAGATTTCACTTTCTGTTTTAATTAAGAGCAATGTCATAAGCTGACTAAAAAATGCTGTTTGTATGCAAAGTAGAATGAAAAGGTTTTATGTTGAGGATGATTTGTGTGTGTGTGTGTGTGTGTGTGTGTGTGTGTGTGAGTGTGATGTATTACACTGTGGGGATGAAATATAAATTTACTTTAAAGCACTTGCCCATGAATTGCCCATGTGTCTGAATGGTGCTATACTGTATAAGTAAATTTGCTTTTGTGTTTTTGCTTTGACCTTTTTGCCTGTAGACATTCTGAAGCTGTTTGATGTTTTTGTTGACAACCGTTCACAACCGTTGTTGTGTTGTGTTATTACACATGGCAGTATGGTTTGTGTGTTCCGTTAGAGACAGACAATGCTGCATTCCATGTTCATATCTCATACTTGTAACCGTGTCTACAGGAATACCAGCTGGAGGAGGCGCGGTCATCGCTAACACGTCACGTAGGAGCGAAGTCTGTGGGTGGGAGCACTGTAGGGGAGTCACATCCAGGTGACATATAAAAAAATCTTTATAAGGCCTGACACACCTCTCCTGCAAGCTCTCTTCAGGGTAAAATGGATCTGAAGGTAACAAAAGGTACGTTGAAATATTGTCTTCAACATGCATTTATTGACTTAACTGTGTACCATGTATTTAGAGGTCCTTTTTATTAGACTCTATAATGTGAGATCTTTTTTTGGTTGGATTATTTCGCTGCATTATCTATAAACAGACTGATGATTAACATTGATGGATAAGGTATGTTTATATAGCTTTGCATCTTGTTGTACCTTCAATTGTTAAAGAAGTTTAACACATTAGCATGGTTACTTACAGCTGGAGGTAAAACTAGCAAACAAGAAGGACCTCAACACCCCTTTGACTGCCAACAAATGAGGATTGTCCTGCTGGGTAAAACAGGAGTGGGGAAAAGCGCAGTTGGCAACACCATCCTGGGCAGGAAACAGTTTGAATCTGCACTCAGAAGTGCTTCAGTCACCAGCCAATGTCTAAAGCAACATGCTATAGTATTTGACAGACCCATGGCTGTTATCGATACCCCAGGCCTGTTTGACACTGAGCAGCCCAACAACGAAATCCAGAAAGAGATAGTGAAATGTATCCAGGTCTCCTCCCCAGGGCCACATGCTTTCCTGTTGGTGATGCAGCTCAACAGATTCACTAATGAGGAGAAGATGTGTGTTGAAGCTCTGCAGGAGATCTTTGGTGAAGAAGCAAATAAATTCATGATTGTCCTGTTCACCCGTGGAGATGACCTCCAAAACCAGTCCATTCATGAATTTGTCAGGGATGCCAACTCACACCTGAAGGAGGTGATCAGGAAATGTGGGGGCAGATACTGTGTCTTTGACAACAAGACAATGTCTAATAGGGACCAAGTGAAGGAACTGCTGGACATGATTGACAAGATGATGGCCCTGAATGGAGACAACTTTTACACCCAGGAGATGTATGAGGAGGCAGAGGCAAAGATCAGAGAGAAGGAGGAGGAGATCAAGGAAGCAGCCATAGAGAAGAAAAGACTCCATCGAGAAAAACTAGAGAAAGAGCGATTAGAGAGAGCAGAAAAACTTGCAGTACAGCTGAGAAGTGCGGTGGACCACGAGATTGAAAAGAGGTTATCTGTAATCAGGATGGAATTTGAGCAGGAGCTGAAGGAAGCTAGAATTAAGGCAGAGGAGTCTGATCTCAAATTGAGTTTCTCACAAAAACTCAAGATGAAGGTTTCAAAAGCTTTCAGGATTGTAAAGAAATAAATGGGTCATATTTCTGAATACTCCTGAATATTCAGTATTTCCGAGTAAAGCTGTATACATTTAAGATTTTAATTTCAATGTTGTGTAAGTTCTGCTGACACTTTGAATTGAACTGAATTTTTCATTATAGTATAGAAATATATAACAATAATACTTGAAATTTGGTGTATTAAGTGCTTTTATATTATATATTTTTGCTTTATGCTTATGTCTACTCCTCTTAGAATATGTTGGGAAGTGGGTATTGCGTGAATATAGTTTATTTAAAATACAACATACTACATTTATTTTTACTAACAGTTAAATATTTCATATTAAGATAAAACATGCTCTTCTTTGAGATGCATTAAAAGCTTTACTGTGCTGTCCAGCTCCTGGATGTTTTTCTTGTCTTTCTTCTCATTCCCAGCTAATCTGGTTATTCTGGTTTCGTACCACACTTATCTCATGCTCCCTTTTCATATCATGTTTAAGTTTCAGCCCTCATCAGGATGCCCATGCTGGTTAGTGTCATGGTTCCAAGCGGCTCGGACACGAGAACGTGGCATAGTGTACACAGAAAAAATGGTGGACGACCCACTGGCGGCTCGAAGAACACAAAAACAAGGTTTATTAAACAAAACAGAAAGCACTACAAACACAACAAAACCAAAAAGACCGTGAGGGGTCAAAAACTTGTTTAGTTATACGTGTCTAATTACACAAAACAAAAATGAATTAGCATAGAAATTCTGTGATGAAAAGAGTAGATGCTACAAGTGACTAACCTGTGTCTTTGCCGAGATTCATTGTTCCCTGGAGAGGAGCGGAGTCTGTTACCGCTCTTTCAGGTTCTTTCAGGTTCTTTCAGGTTCTGTCAGTATTTTTGTGACCTAAAATGATTCCACTCCTCCCCAGTAGTCCCGCCTCCCTCCTACTTGGCAGTAAGTGAAATATATCAGTCTCTTCTCAATCTCAGCAGTGGAGAAGTTTCTTCTTTACCCAGTGCTACTGTGATCAGAGCACATTCTCATCATCCTCGGAGAGCAGCAGGACCGGTATGGCAGCAGCTGACGGTAAGGGTTCAGAATTCTCCGTCTTCCTGTTAGACAATGTCACTTTGTTGTTTGACTTTACACAAAAAGCACTTTCAGTTTTCATGTATTATTCCAGCTGGTTATAGTGAATTTCAGCATAAAAATGCAATTGTAGCACAGAAAAAATAAATATTTAATACATGCAGAAGTTTTCTAAGCTGCAGTAGAGATTTCTGAGGGAAATTTCAACTACCACTGTGAGAAGTGAATCTAGTCAGCTTTAGATTTAACTGAAATACAAACAGAACACCATGATAGGCCATTAGAGTGTGAGCGTGTGTGTGTGTGTGCGTGTGTGTGTGTGTCAAGATGCTTTTCATGATCCTGTACTGGATAAACAATGATGAAAGGTGGATATATGTGGTATTATGTGTTACAGGCATGTAGTCATGAACTTCAGGATTAATATCTCATGCTGCCAGTGACATGTCTGTCTTTCAGCAGCACATGTCACACTGGTGCTTCTGGGCAGGACAGGCTCGGGGAAGAGCTGCTGTGGAAACACCATACTGGGCAGAAAAGGGTTCCAGTCCGTCCTCAGCACCAAACCAGTGACCACAGAGTGTGAAAAACAGACTGAGTCCATTCAGGGGAGACAGGTCACTGTCATCGACACACCAGACTTCTTTGGTGACTCTTTCCCTGATCCGAAGTCCCACATTGACACCTGTAGGTCCTTGGTATCAGAAGGTCCCTGTATTTATCTTCTGGTGTTACAGTTGGGTCGCTTCACAGAGGGAGAGAAGAAGTTAGTGGAACAGACTGAAAGCCTGTTTGGCCGAGACGTCACACAGCGCATGATAATTCTGTTCAGTTATGGTGATGATCTGGAGGGCATCACCATTCAGGACTTCCTGAAGAATGCTCAGATAGATCTCAAAGCCCTAGTGGAGAAATGTGGGAACAGGTGCCATGTCTTCAATAACAGGAACACCAGAAGTGACAGGCAGGTGACAGTGCTTCTGAAAAACGTGGATTTTATGCTGGACAGAGTTAAAGGGACAATGAAAAAGAAAAATAAAGAGTCAGATTGCATTGTTTTGTAGACCACTTTGTCATTCAGGCAATCTTTGTAGACCACTTTGTCATTCAGGCAATCTTTGTAGACCACTTTGTCATTCAGGCAACCTTTGTAGACCACTTTGTCATTCAGGCAATCTTTGTAGACCACTTTGTCATTCAGGCAATCTTTGTAGACCACTTTGTCACCTTTGTAGACCACTTTGTCATTCAGGCAATCTTTGGAATTCTTAATATTGAGTTTCTAGTTCATATAGTTCAGGTGTGTTTATAGTTCATATAAAAACAAGTGTAATACTAATAATGTAGAAATTAATCATCTGTATTTCAGGATTAAAAGCTAACATCATACCACAATGTGCTGGAGTTTTATGTGATGACACCACACGTCAAGAGTTTTAAATCTGTAATTATGAGGGATGCACCAATCGATCAGCTAGTGACCAGTGCTGACCAGCACTAGCCAATCAGTCTAAATATGGCTGATTTTATGAGCCGATGAAGTAGTTTGGAAACTAGTGTTACTTTTCGTAACAAGTACTGATGGCCCATATGACAATATTTTGAAAAAATATTTTATGAAAAAATATTTCTATTCACATTCCATTCACACCTATGGGCAATTTAGTAACTCCAATTAGCCTCAGCATGTTTTGGGACTGTGGGGGGAAACTGGAGTACCTGGAGGAAACCCCATAACGACATGGGGAGAACATGCAAACTCCACACACATGTGACCCAGGCAGAGACTCGAACCCGGGTCCCAGAGGTGTGAGGCGACAGTGCTAGCCTCTGCACTATCATGTAAAATGCCAGGTTTATGTGAAAAGTGGGAAAAGTTTTGAAATAATCTATCGTTGTCTCATTTTTTTTACATCACAAACACTTGCCATTTTAACAGGGGTGTTTACACTTTTTATATCCACTGTACTCTCCATATGCTGTTTTGGAAACAAATTCACCCCAATACTAAACGTTTTATAATTTAATTTTCAAATTAATTAATACACTCCACCTGTTTCATTATGAAGGACCATTTCTTACCCTGAATGACTTTTTTGACCACATAATGGCAGCAGAGTTCAAGCCTCAGGGCTGTAAATCTCCCTAGACACACAGAAAACAGATGAAAACCTTACTTAAAATATATATTTCTTTCATGTCAAATTGACCCAAACGGTGAGGTAAGGGCTAAGTTCCAAGCATGCCAAGAGGAACAATGGGGTCGACATTCTCCTGCCTGGCGCGATCGAGCTGCTAGTCTGTTGGGCTGCTTTCGGTTTCTGTTGTGCTGTTTTAGGAGAGACCTGTTTTGAGAGTATACGATTGCCATGAGATTAACTCCTTTTTACAGTATTTGCTTCATAAGGTTGAGGGGTTAGATTAGACTGTGCACGCATCTACATGTCTTACCTAGGTTTGTTCCCTGTCTAAAGACACCAGTTTAGGGACGGACGCCAACCTCTGTACTTTTGTCAGGGTTTACTGTAGGTAGCTCAGCAAGCCTAATTATGGGAACTTAGGTTAGGGATGACAAAGGATTAAGACGGTTTCCCCCTTCCTTAGGAGCAGTATGAGACGCACATTCTCACACTTAGCCGCTTAATCCAGCATGTTTACACTGTCCTGTCAATGCCAGTGCTCCAGGGCTTTTTTCTATCGTTAGTTGTATGATTTGTTTGACCCCATGTGGTCTGCTTGTATTTGTCCTGTTCCCGTTCATTTAATAAACCCCGTATTTGTTTGCCCTCACACCTGTTCCTGCCTTCCTGTGCAGCAACGGTTCTTCAATCTGTGGGTAAAAGACTCGCTTGACGGATCCCAGACTTCGATCCTCAGGAGGTTATGACGATGTGGCATTAGTTAGGAGAGGTGAGGAGAGTGGTCACGGGTTCCCCGAAGCTCACCTCTCATCCACCCGCTGGCCTCCCCGAACTAGCGGCCTATCATTCACTTGCTGGCTTCTCCGAGCCAATTTCCTGTCCCCACACACAGCAAATGTGCCAGTGTTAAATTAACACTGCATGGTGTCTATATGTGTCCACACCATTCAGTGTTACCTTTAACACTTTACAGTCTGCGGTGAGTGTTGTTTTTTCAGTGTTAATGTTTATTAACTCTTATAGTGTTCTATTTACAACCTAGAGTGTTAAGACAATGTGTCTCCACCTCTTCCCAAATTGCAAGCCCATATGGGTGGCACACAGGTACAAAATGGGTGGCCCATATCTGCCCTATTTTAATGTACTCTCATTTGAACTCATTTGGGCATTCAAATGTGTTTTACTAACCCACCATAATAAGAAAGACTCAGACCAACATAGCCTTTTCTCTTTTTATGCAAGTTTTATTTCAGTTCAGCTCTTGATAACCAAAGAACTGTGCTGAGAACCGCCTGTGGTATAAAAGTGTGTGAAATGTATGATACCAGTCACCAAACGCAGGTTATGGAGTTAGAGTGTGTTAGACTACATAACACAATTATTTAGCAGGGCTGAAAAAAGGTAAGCTTAATGACTGAAGGAGTGTATTTCTGCTAAAGCAGATATAATGTGTGGTGGCCTCGTTGCTTTTAGACCACAGCTTGCGATAGAACAAATCAAATCACTTTGCTCATTTAATATTAAGATTTTCATTAAGCTTAATTTTTAGAAACCCACCACGATCGAGGATGGTATGGCACTGATATTAGTCTTTACCACATTTCTTTATATGTTTTTCCAGGTTGGTGCATGTTAATTGGTCTGAGCAGTGCAGTTCTTATATATGTGCGTCCCCAAATAAATCTAAATTTTACAGTTACATAAGGTCCAAAAGATCGTCCTAGAGAGCCCAGGCTTGGAAAAGAAACAAAATGATTGTTTTCCATAGTATTTTCCTCCCTGCCAATGCCTTCTCTACTTAAGCCATGGAGGCTAAACCATCCTACCTGGTCCCTGGCTGGCACGCAAGAGCCATTTCTGTAGTTTTTGCTCTCTTGTCTTATTCATCACAATCGCGGTGGGTTAAAAAAAATCTATTAAGTCAAAAACAGTATTGTGTGATGCTATGCAAATATACATCCAGCACCATTGGTGTACAGCAGAGTGGGTGATACCAGGAGCTGCCCAGAAAAGGGTATCGCCACTGTCATAACACCTTTCCACATATGTTAATCATCCAAGGGCAGGACTGGCAAACATACCCCCACACCCTTAAAATACATACCACTCCGGAGACCTGCCCTGTACATTTCCAAGAGTTTTTCCTCTGACTCAATAGCAAAATGCTATAAGACCACAACGCTCTAATCCTCAAAATCAGTCAGAACTGAGCCAACAAAGCTTTAATAAAAAGCAAGAAAAAGCTGTAAGATCCTTTTTGGTCAGAGTCTTTCTCATGATGGTGGGTAAATCTGGGATGGCTCTTCTGATCCTTATGACATCTTGTGCGCATATTAAAATGGGGCAGATATGTGGAGGTGGAGACTCTTTGACAACACTCTAGGTTCTAAATTGAACACTATAAGAGTTAATAAACATTAACATTGTAAAAACAACACTCACTGCACACTGTAAAGTGTTAAAGGTAACACTGAATGGTGTGGACACATATAGACACCATGCAGTGTTAATTTAACACTGGCACATTTGCTGTGCAGTAAGAAGCGGAAGAAGAAGGTGGAACTCACATCAGATCCTGAACACACCTGAATGACCTGGACTGGGATCCCCAGGATCAGGCCTTGAGTCCCACACCATGGACCCTGGTTCCTGTCATGACCTTGGACCATCCCTGTCCCTGTCCTGAGGTGGCCTCTGGTACCAACAGGGGCCCACGTGAGAGGCCTGCTGTGTCTGCAAACAGAGAAGAATTCCTCAATATGGTTGAGGAATGGTGACTAAGGCGGCAGGAACACCATCATCATTTGTTGGTGGGTTTCAAACCATTCCCTCGCATGGTTTGAGTGGTGAAAACGTACATTGTGCCAAATTACATAGCATGACATGTTGGCCCTCACAACCCCACTTGCATTTTCTGGAATAAGAGCATTGTAGAGCCCAACCAAAAACTGAAGAAGCTGGTCGGTGTTGCAGGGCCGAGTGGTGGCTGCATTGTGAATGACTCCATGTTCAGCAACAGCAGCACACATTGTAATGTTGCCCCCACGCTGGCCTGGGACATCTACTGTGGCCCTCTGACCTATTATGTTCCTGCCACGTCGCCTTACTTTGATTAGGTTAAATCCTGCTTCATCTACATACCCCAAAATGGAAAACATGAAAGCAACTTTGAAAAACTGTAAACAGACTATAAACCTAATCACCTCTGTGTCTGCCTGGGGGATCGCCAGCCAGGATCCCGAGGAGTTTTGGTGTGTGGTGGGTGCGGCAACAGGCTGCATCAGCGCATGCTCCCCAACCTGACCTGACCTGACTGACCTGGTGTTGTAATGTGTATATCAATGTGTACTTTCAAATAAACCCTTAAAAAGTCATAAACCAGAAAAACAAAAAAACTTTATTACAGTCTTTCTTTAATAACAAATCTTCATTAATAGACTTAGATGGATGGTGCTTTGTGGTTGAGTCTGGACTGAGCGGTGGTGGTGAAACTGCTGTGTAATTTTACCAAAGATGGAACAGGAGTGATGGGAGTAAGGAGTACAGGCACTTGAGGGATCCGTAAACAGGTGCTCAGGTGAGGTTGCTGGACTCTGATGATTTAAAAAAATGTTTTTTTTTTGTTGTCCTGAGTAATTGCCACACTCAATACATTAAAAGTCAGTTAGACTATTAAAATAATTATAAACACCAAGTAGCTACAGTGGGCCTCACCATGGCTGGCTGAAAAGAGGGCACCTCCCAGACACTACACACCACTCATGAACACACCTCTCCAGCAGAAACCAGTGCAACACCAAGAAAACCCTCCACCACCTACAGCTCAGCTTGCCGCCGACTTCAACCCCGCTGCTCCTGTACAACAGAACAAAACGACAATGAAAAAAAAAGAAACAATGGGTCTGATAAGGACCATACCCTTGATAACCTCTCCGGGACATGGAGAGATGATGGAGCTGTCCATGTTCCTGGCAACCTCTGTGAGAATGGGAGAATGGAGACTGGGGCAGGAACCTGCAGCCTGGAAATCATGGACATTGAACTGACTCCCAAATGGAAGCAAAGATTGCCTGCAATGCCAGGAGGACAGCCTTACCATCAGCCTGGAGAAGTTCACCCCGGATACCACAGATCCCTGTGACTTTCCAGCTGATTCACCACCCGTGCAGTCTCAGAGAGACTCAGTGGTTAACAGCTCATGGAAAATGGCGCCACTGTTTTTACGTATATTAGCAAAGAGGATGTCAG